GAACAAAGACCACAAGATTTCACTTACATTGGGAATTAAAACAAAGCAAACATACAAACTACACAACACAGAAGCAGAGCCTTGGAAACGGAGGTGGAGCTGATGGTTTCCAGAGGGGAGGGGTTTGGAGGAAGGGCGAAAAAAGTGAAGACGGGTTAAGAAGTCCACATTTTAAGTTATAAGTAAGTCATGGGGATTTAATGTACAGAAGAAAGGAGATAGTATCAAAATAACTTCACACAGTCAGGTAGTTATTAGACATCATGGCGATCACATCGTTAGGTAAATAAAAGTTGCACAACTAGGCTGTAAACCTGAATCTTATAGAATATTGTATTTGAACTATTTTTTAAAATTTTAACAAATTGTGCAGGCCACATAAAGGATAAAGAAACAAAATATGTGTTGACTGAATAAGTGAACAGGACTCTTCAGTTCTTTTTTTTTTTTTAATTTAATTTATTTATCTTTAGAGGGGAAGGGAAGGGAAGGAGAGAAATATCAATGTATGGTTGCTTCTGGTGCATCCCCTGCTGGGAACTGGCCTGCAACCCAGGCATGTGCCCTGACAGGGAATCGAACCATGATCTTTTAGTTTACAGGCCCATGCTCAATCCACTGAGCTACACCAGCCAGGGCAGGACTCTTCAATTCTGTAAGCTAAAATACAATGGAGCAATGCCTTCAAAATTTTGATGGAAAATATGTCCAGCTTAGATTTCAGTTATATAAGACAATCCATAACTCAATGTGCTGGTAGAACACACTGTGAGAGGCGCAAAGGCTCCAGAAAAACCAGGTAGTAAACCAAGAAAGGAGAAAGATACGCGATCCGGGAAACAGGGAGCCCAGATTGGAGAGGAAAAGGGAATTACCACAGATAGTGAAAAGTCATAAAATGACAGCTACGCAACCAATCCAGTGGCAACCAAGCCAAGAGGAGGCAGAGGACACCAGTAAAAAGAAAAGATACACTCCTAAGGTTTGCAACTCTTGTCCAAGTTTGGTGATGGGAGCGTATGATAAATTATAAGACTATCAAACCCCCCCCCCCAAATTATTAAGTACATGAATAACAAAAGTTGTGCAAGAAAGGAATATGACCGTAATATACTACAAAGCAGCTTGTAAAAAATGTCTACATGGCTGAACATGCACACTACACCCTAATTTAAACAAAAAAATCGTAGTTGACTATTGGAAAAAATGGGAAAGGGGAAAGTGTGGGGACAGCTGTGATGAGATGTGAGACAACAAACGCCTCATTTTCCCCAGAAATAACGATAGTAAGTCTAAAGCACTCCCCGCTGTAGGCATCATTATCTGTGCTTCATAGCTACTAATTTTTTTATCCATGAGGAAACTGATAAAATTTAACTTGCCAGAGTCACAGTGAATAATAAAGCCAAGAACCAACCCCCAGCAATATAACTCCACTGTCCGTATTCGTCTCTACTCTTACAGGTTCTCAGAACTCTTCACACTCTAAAAATTACTGCAAACACCAACGGCTCTTAGTTTATGTTGGTTGTATCTATCAAGAGTATTTTTAATAGCCTTTTCAGACTTGTGGACATTCTTCATCAATGGAACATAGAACTTAACAAAGACTTCACTGAGGTTGGTTGCAATGTCAAACACGAAATCCTACCAGTGAACCTTCTCATACTGTCTTAGGTGAACCTCCGTGGGTCTCTCTTGCAATATGAGAGCATATTTTGCATATGCGGGTCATGTGAAAAATATGGGTTCACTCAGCAGTGCAGACCTTCCAAATGTTGACATACTTTATCATTCAATATCAAAACATCGCATTCTAATGTCCCCACTAATCTATCAGAAAAGTCTAGCGTTATCAAGCTAATGGTGGTGAATTCTTTTCCAAAATTCTAATTTTTCTCTTGAAAACTCAAATTTTTTTGTTGGTAAGAAATATGTTTTTCCTTGAAGTGGTACATTCATTTTTGAGAAAATGTCAGCCAAATTCCCACATCTGACTGTTACAGGATGGGGGGTAGGGGGCAATTATCAGCCCACCCAGAGACACCAAAAACTGTTACCGAACAGATGGGGGGGGTACAATATACTATTACCGAAAGGACCCCACACTTGGTTCGATTGTCTGCTGCCATAGAAAAGCTGTCTCTCAATGCCAGAGATTTGTGAAAAGGAAATGTTTATTTAAAGCTATACAGGCTTAAAATAGTGACCTAATGCTTCCATTAAAATACAAAGTCCCTTTGGATAACCACAGACGCCTGCAGCGCTCCCTTCCCCCCTGCCCTAATTCAGGGTACCGTATCTCAGGAAAAGAAGCACACTCTGTGATTCAGGCTGCTGGCACCATCAGCTGTGTCGCCATCTAGGCAGGATCTCCAATTAATCCAAAGTCATGTGGCACCTTCTCATTGCCTCCTGGCAAGAGTCCTTTCACCCTTCCGGGCAAAGTTTTTCTTGCTTCCTAGGCCACATGGCCAAAAGGAGCACCCCAAAGCCGCGTGGTTCTCTTCTATCAAAGCTGCAGGGGTCCCTATTCTCTCCAAAACCGCATGGTCCTCTTCTCTCCACTAAAGCTGCGGGGAGGGGGAGGTCGCCACTCTGCTAAAGGTGAGTGGCGGTTCTCTGCTAAAGCTGCATGATGATTCTCTCCACCCAAGCTGCATGGGTCCCCACTCTGGCCAAAAGCATGTGTCTCTCTCTCTCATATGGCTGCGGGGGTCCCCACTCTGCCAGAAGTGCATGGCTCTCCCTGCAAAGCTGCAGGGGTCTGCACTCTGGCAAAACTGCATGGAGCTCTCCTCAATGGCTGTTGAGTCTGGGTTTAAATCCCCGTGTCAATCTTCCTGTGCAGCCCCATTTCCAACTCCTCCTACAATCAGTTACACCTGCCAGCATTCCTGTATTATTCCAAGTTTACTGGGCTGCCATTGTGAGTCTGGGCAGGTGTGGCCCCATGTCATGGAGCCAATCTTCTCCAAGCTCTCACACAGGCACCGTAACCTGCGGGACCTGCCCTCAGTTACATTTTGGGGGGAAATCCCTTCCATCCCCCTGGCTCAGAGCATGGCCACAGCTATTTCACATATCTATGCAACCAGTTAAAGGCTATAGATGTTAAATGACCATGCCAGAGGTTAGCTGCAAGGCTGTGGCTGTACTAAACAGCCCTGCATGTTCCTGCTCCATGTGTCCCTTCCCCCAACTCACACCTGTTGGGGGGAAGGGGTGAGGATATCCTAATATTTCTTGAACACCTTAAGTTCTGGACCCCATTCCAAATCCTTATTTGGGGCCACTCTCTTGGCTGCACCCTGTAACATGACTAATCATGATGTCTGTCAGACACTTTCAAGGAAAAATTTTGTTCCGTGAAAAAGTGTTCATTCAGTTCAGCTCACAGCCCAAACAATTACACGTGACTTTTCTCAAAACAGCCAACTTCTGTGTGTACTTTGGAAGTACCTGATGCGTACTTTCCATTTCATCACACGTAATACCTACCACTGAGAATAAAATTTATAATTTTTATTGCTTCATCAAAAATTTTAAGTGAAATTGGCATTATTATTATTTCTTGTAAATTCTTGTCAGTGACGTAGAAAATGAAAACTCGATGCCACCAGTTTTACCCACCACTGCTTTGGTACCAAGGGTGTGAACATCAAGACAGTGAAAAAAGGCAAACACAGCATCTTAGGTCTATTGCAAAAACCAGTTTTGACCTCTTGAACGGAGACGCAGGGACCCCCAGGGACGTGCAGACAGTAACTTTGAGCACCGCTGCATTGCACTGCGTGGCCTCCTGCACACACGCTGCCTAAAACTAAACCATAAGCAAGTGGTGGTGTCAGCACATTATAAACTATGAAGGCAATGCCGCGAGAGTGAAGGGCAGTTGTCCTTCAAGACGGAAGAACTGGGGAGTGTGTCTTTGACAGCCACGCTTGCGTGACGACTTGGCTTTTTAGGAGCCTGTATTATTCTACTAAAAACCTGCAAAACGCCCTGGCTGGTGTAGCTGAGTGGACTGAGCGCAGGACTGCGAACAATACAACCGTGGTTCGATTCCCAGTCAGGGCACATGCCTAGGTTGTAGGCCAGTTCCCAGCAGGGGACTCACAAGAGGCAACCATACATTGATATTTCTCTCCTTCTCTCCTTCCCTTCCTCTCTAAAAATAAATAAATAAAATCTTTAAAAAAAAAAAAACCCAACCTGCAAAGCCATGTAAATAGTTCCCCATCAGCAGACAGTCTGTACCCCCACAAGGTTATCCCAAATACATTTTGTCCTGGGGGAACTCTTGCCCTATAGGGCAACACATAGTAATTGCAAAAAATTACACACTTAGAGATACTAAAAGGAAAAGGTTGAAAAACACTGCCTCACCTCACTATAGAAAAATAGGCATGAAGCTGTGGCTGGCGTGACTCAGTGGATTGAGTGCGGGCCTGCGAACCTGAGGATGTCGGTTCGATTCCCAGTCAGGGCATATGCCTGGGTTGCAGGCCAGTTCGCAGTAGGGGATGCATGAAAGGCAACCATACACTGATGTTTCTCTTTCTCTCTCCTTCCCTTCCCCTCTAAAGATAAATAAATAAAGTCTTTAAAAATAAATAAATAAATATTTTTTAAAAAGAAAAATAGGCATGAACTAGAGAAATATTTGCAAAATAAAATAGAAAGCTCCTCTAGAAAGCCATTTTTATCCAGAATCTTCTAACTTTTAATACAGCAGTAGGCAAAAGTAGCTTTGCAGTTGTGAGTATGCAAAACAGTTTATTCTTGTACTATTATGGATTAATTATGGTATTATTGTCCGTATGAATAACTGGACAGCATCATCCTCTCCACTAACTGCACACTCTGTCAGACAGAGAAATGCCATCTCTCCAGGCCCAAAACAAAAATGTAGAAACATTTTACAAAGGCTTTGTAACAGAGCAAAACATTTTCCCTGAAAGAATTCATGACAGAACTTAAAAAATTATTTTTCCTACCGGAAAAGGGAAATTCTGTGTCAAAGGAGACTTCTCTGCATTCTTTAAATTCCGCTGCTGAGCAATGAAACGAATAAGGTTGTTTGTTTCAGGAGAGCCCCGGACACCAACTGTAGAGCGTCTTCTGGATTTTTTAAGGTAGGATAATGACTTTCCTATAATAAAAACTCTCTCTTAAATTGGAACAAAACAAGGCAATCATCAGTAATCACATCCTGAAGATCTGTGATGCACCAGACTGAGAAAGAACATAAGCACATGGTATCGAAATCTAAATAGAGAATTATAGGTAGAATTGGTCATACATGATCAGCTGGATAGGAATCTGTTTTGTTCATTGACTTGTTCCATTTCCCTGGAACAGTGCCTGGTACACAGAAGGAATTTATTAAATACAGTTGTGTGAAATGAACACACAAATATATTTATCATTTTGTTTCATATTTTCTTCACACAAACAGGGTCACAGCTTGCTTTTGACCAAGAGTTTCTCTTTTTCAGAATTAGCCAGTCCAAACCCCATGGGCTGAAAGGAAAAATCTCCACCAGGCCACAGCAAAGATCTCTCCTGTTTTTCGGTCTTCAAGGTGAGTTGTTTCTCTTAGATACCTGTCTAGTTTTGGCACATTACCCTGAATTCTAGCCATATGCTTAAGCACAAAAAATTAGATTGTTACAGGCCTAGGAGTGATGCTTTTGAGAAGAAAACAGAATGAATGGTGTGCCACCTTAGTCTTGTCTCAATCACGTATTAGTCTAGTGCCCTGACTTTCACATTCCCCATTACCTTCCATTTCTAAATCTAATTCCTCTCCCATATTTCTCCTCCAGCCAAGTCAGACTTCACAGGTGAATTTCACTTCTAGCACTTGATGATTAATGTGAGCCAATTTTCTGTTTGTGATTTTGAAAGAGGCAAACTCCAATCCTTCAACATAATATTTTCTTTATCCTCACCCAACGACACTTTTTTCAATGAGTTTAGAGAGAGAGGGAAAGAGAAAAAGAAACATCTATCGGCTGCCTCCCATACCTGCCTGGACTGGGGATGGAACCTGAACCCTAGCTATGCGCCGACTGGAACCAAACCTTTCAGTTATAAAACGACACTACAACAAATCGAGCCACGCCGGCCAGGGCATAACACTGTGTTAATTGCTCTTCCACTTTCTCTTATTTTTGCCACGTATAACTATAAAACATCTTACTGTTTGTAGTATACATACTCTTGTATCCCATACTTTAGGTCAAAAGTGATTTATACACATTCCTTCCCAGTGTGGGCACAAAGCACAACTCTGACTTAGGCACATTCTCATGCTTGGGGGCCTTGGACCCTGGTCACCTGCTATGCAAGACGAACAGGACATGTTCATAGAAGTCTCTCTGATCAAGCAAGTTTGCAATTCAACCAATTTAGATATGTAAAGTAATAAGATACATGGGATACGTGAATAAAATTGTTATTAAATTACTTTTAAACTTTAAAAGCACTGAGACAGAATGAGTTCTCTTACCTGAACAGTTTTTTACAAAGCTTTCAGGTGTAATTCCCAGTTGTTCCACAGTTACTGTGGAAAAGTCCAAAGGTGATTTAAAAGTATCTGGTGTGCAAAGATCAGGAGTCACTTCAGCTGCATGATTTGAAGGTATTACAAGATTCCCATTTCCCAAAACGAGAGAGGCATTTTCTGAAACAGACAACATGTTGAGGAGGCTAAGCATCTTTATGAAGATACACACCTAAATTGTAAATTTCACAAAGAGGCAACAGATCACTACATACCCGCATTAAGAGCAGACTCTTTGGTTTCAGGGGGGTTGCTGCCTTTTGAGTTGGTATCCATCTATAAAGAGAGAAGAGAAAAAAGGAAAAAGAACCCCATTCCCCAGATTAATGTGATTTGATGAAGATCCTCATTCAAGACTGAATTCTAATACAATCTATACTGGTATGAAAATGGATGTCACAAGTACTTTTGGAACTCAGATTAAATAGAAACGGAGGAAACTGTTGTTCAGGATGAAACAAAGCAATCCCCATACTATAGCCACCAATTTTCACCCAGTGTGCTGCCAAGAATTTTTAGCACATGCAATACCTGACTACTTAGTCAGGGGCACTGACTTCTTTTCCCTTAGGTTGTCAAATTAAAAAAAAATGACAAGAACCAACACAATAATAGCTGTCTGGTGTGCATGAATCAAAACTATACCTTTTTTTTTTGTCAGATTGACAAAAAATATACTTTTTGGTATGCCGCAGAATTTTGATAATTAGTTTGTGTGCAATGAGATGAAAAAGGTTGAAAACCCCTATCAGCCATAGCTGTCCAATCTTAGCGAAACGTGAATCATCTGGGTACCCCGCTGAAGGCCAGCTTTGTGGACTTCCAGGAATTCTAACTCAGGAGATCTGGCTGGGCCCCAGGAACGTGTATTTTGAAAAGCACACGGGTGATCCAGCCAAGGACGCAGGAGAACCACTGTCTCCGCGGGGCAGGCTAAGTAGAACACATTTCTGAGAAACAGCACTGCTAATACTATACCTGGAGTTCAAACCAGGGCACTTGGCCCCACCTCTCACTCCCGCAGCTCGGCTATCCTCCTCCTTGGGTTTATTCCGGACGCCCCGCGGCACATGAGTGTCGTGGCTGTCCTCGGATCTTTAGTCCTGAAGGGAGAGCCAGTAGCCAGGGGTTCTGCCTCGTCCCGAGCCGCGCGACACAGTGAACCCGCAGCCCGCGGTTACCTACACTTCAGCCCAGCCCGCCCCTGGATTCAAATCACCCGCCCCGCCTTCTCAGCATCCCGGCGTTACTCTAGGAAACTCTACGCCGCCACCAGCCGCACGCGTCCGCGGGCACCCCGAACCCCCCCAGACCTGTACCTCGCCGTCCGAGGAACACGAGTGGTCTCGTGGGCACGAGAAAAAGCAACCACTAGCTGCAAGTGACTCACTGAGCAAAGGGAATACCAGCTAACCTAGATCCATGGGGACTACTTCCCGTGAGAGTCTCGCGGAGGAACCCATCGGTTAGACCCCCCAAAGGTCCACCCCCTGATTTTGATTGGATGCTGCAAACTTCGAAAAGAATCATTGGACCAATCAAGACAGAACGACTGGTTGATTCTAACCCAATCAGCCAGCTCCGACGGCAGCCGTTTCTTCAGTGGGTTGAGCGATGGGAGGGATTACAGAGGGAAGTGCTGACTTCTTTGAATCACTTCAGCGTTCGTTTCCTCAAACCCCGCCTCCGCGTGCAGCTGTGATCTACCTGGAGTTGCGTTTGCGCCTGCTCAGTAACGCTTTGAGCGGCTGCTAGGCTCCAGGTTTGCTCTGATTGGCTGATAATTCTTCCCGTCTGCCAGACTGCAGCCCCTCTTTCCTCCATTCACCTGGGTGGAGTTAGTATGAGCCCACCCAATACCAGGTGGTGATTGGTGGAGTTCTGGCCGACGCTTCCAGTTCATTGGTGAAGCTTAGAGTCACTCTGGGGGATGTTGGGGGAAGGGCCCGAGGCTGGCTAAGGAGTCCAGGGGCGGGGTGGCAGGAGGACCCGCCAACCTAGGGGTGTGGGGCCGATAGTGCGAACGTGTGTGTGAGTGTGTGCTCAAAAGAGAAGGAAGGTGGCGAAGGGAGGAGAGTCCGAGTGGGTGGAGGGAGGGGCAGGGCGGGAGAAAAAGGTGGGAGGAGAGCCAGGTGGGAGGGTGGCGACTCACTCAGGACCCAGTGGGGGCAGCGCGATGAGGCGGGTGACCCTGTTCCTTAATGGCAGCCCCAAGAATGGAAAGGTAAGGGGGTCGGTCCGGAGGAGGCGAGGCGGACCCCTCACTGGGGTGCCATAGCAGCGGAGTGCGGAGCGAGCTCGCAAGGCAGAGGGCTGAAGTTGGGGAGAGGGGCTGGGAGGTGGGCGTGCTCCGTGGTAAGAAGTGTCCAGGAGGTGATGGTTGGGTCCCCGTGGCCTCTTCCCAACCCCCGATTCCTATCTCGAGCCTGCCCTTCGACTCCCCAGCCGCCCTGGGGACTGGCGCAGGTCAGCTTGTGCTTAATGGTTCCCAAGTCCAGGTGTGGGGCCAAGAAAACGGAGGGTTTGGGAGGGCCGCTGTCACCTAAGCGCGAGGTGCTGCTGATGCTTCTTTCCCATCTCTGCCCCGAAGACCCCCGTGCCTTCCGCCGCTGGCTGGAAAAAGCGCCTGTTTCCACCTACGTGCTGACTAATGGTCTGCCCCAGAAGTGGTAACTAAGGCATGAGAGGTTGATCGGGTAAAAAGAATTAACTCAGTCAGTGAATAAATGAAATACTTTTATATCCTAGGTCAAAGAGAGGCTCGTAAATCAGGGGCATTTTCTTGATGGTTTCCTCTTTTAGGTCCCCCAAGCCCCGCTGCCGCCAAACTTCTGTACTTTTTTCTTTTAATCTCTCCTTATTTTAGTTCTTTAGGGGACTGACAATAGGCCAGAGGGGTCGGTTTGACATTACTCCTTGCTGTTAAGCCTTTGTTGAGGGTGTGGTACTAAATATTGTTCGAATGCCAAAGTAAGCCAAAATGAGTCCTTTTCCTTCTCAGCTCTTGCCCCACCCAAGAAAGTTGTTCCGCGGCTTTGGAAAATTTGACTGTTCAAGGCAGACATTTATGGAGTGGCTAAAAGGACATTTAGAAATAACTAAGCCTTAGAGTCTAAGGTTAAGGTAAATTACCCTCATATTACTTGCGGGAATACTTTGTCTCCTGCATATTTTGGAAACATTCTAAATTTCTAAATAGTGTAATTGTGCCATGGTATAAAAAATTATTTTCCAAGTATTCTGTAGTTTTGAGTAAATGTGCCATAAAAATTTGAACCGCACTGTAGTTTGTTAACTATAATTTTGTGTTCTTCTGATCTTAGAGATTTAATACACACATAAAACAGAACTGGCATAAATGCAAGCTTTTGAGTTTTTCCAAATACTGCCTCAAAAGATGTTTGCCAAGATTTACATTATTTCTGACCATTACTAACCTTTTCTGAGCCTGTTTAGTCTGTTAACTACATTCACAATCTAACACATTGTTATTGGAAGAATGATTTAGTATATCCAAAGTTACAGCTGTACTATGTTCTCAGAAGCAGACCCCTCTGGTTGGCCTTTTCATCCAGTATCTCTGCTGTGTTATCCCATGAAAGACAAGAAGCTTAGGCCCAGGCATAAATATTTATACTGTAAATTTCTTCTGAAACCACTGAATTTTGTTCTTGTCAAAGATTTACAGGGTTAGTCTTGCCGTATTACCTTTAATAAGTTTTTTAAGCTATCTAGTGTTGACTGTGTTAGATTTTTGGATTTAAATGTGTATATCCTTTAAATATATTTTGCTAGAGAACCTCAGAAAATTGGAAGAACACATCTCAAATAATTAAAGATAAATGTTTATGTTAAAAAGATCATAAAAACCCAAACTGGAAAATACTAGTATAAGTCAGCATTAAAAATAATCTATGCCATAATCCTTACCACTCAACTTGAAAACATATTCTGTGCCAAAATGTTTCCTCTTCACTGATTAAAAAAAGTATTAGAATTACTCTCCTTTGACAAAAAGAGAGCAGGACAACACATAATGGCCTGCAATTTGATATAAAGTGACTGTATTAGACAGGATGGCATAATCATGACATGATGTTCATGAAAAACATGCTGGAAAAAAGCATCACTACGAAATAGAGTTTGATTTTCCCATCGCTAGTTGGAATATCTGTGTCACTTACCTTATCTCCTTATTTACCTAGCTTGTATTTCGGTTTTCTGGTCATAAGAATGTGTGTTTTTTCAAGTAAGTTGATGTCCTAGAAAGCTTATTCAGTGGTTGCCAGGCAAAGCCATGAAGCCTGGCATTGGGGAGGTAGAGAATCACTGCAGGGTCAATGTCATATGCCCTCCATACTTTTTCTATGTGATTAGTGAATAAACAATGAAGTGTAACTAATCCATATTTTGATATAGAAGAAAGGGCTGCATATTTTCTAAAAGTGCTTTCCCCGGTGAGATGGTGCACCACAGAAGCTGTGTAAGAGGGTCCAGTGGGGTTTAAGGAAAATATTGTACCTTTGATTTACAGATTTTATTATAAAATGTAAAATAATGTTAAAACTTGATTTTTTTTCATTCTGGAAATACACAGGTGATTTTAGTCACCAAATGTGTCGTCTGGTCCCAAGTCTTCTGAGAGAAAGTGAGTGTGTTCTTTCACAGGAACGCTTCTTCACCGCGTTGGTTCACTTTGGCATGTTGCAGTGTATGTAAGCTTACAAGGACCAGGTTAAGATTTGTATCACCCAATTTTAACTAAATTAACCCTCACCAAAATGCCAAGTGGCTTTAAAAGATTCCTTCAAAGAAGCTGCAGATTGAAGAAAATATTAATCTTGCAAAACCCAAATAAGCAACAAGAAAATGGCAGAACTGCCCCTTCTCCTAATATAAACTAGGAGATTTTTTTTTAAACAGTGGATCTCTCTGGCTCTGAGAAGTCAAAAAGCACCAGATTTTAAAGAAGACTGTTCAAAGTCTTAACTGTTTATGTATTTTTCTTTGAAATATTAGCCAATGATGAGGTCATCCCAATTAGCAAGCATTTAAAAATATTTCCCAGCACCTGAAGACAATTTCAGGAAAATTTTCCTTTACCATCTTTCTTTGGTTTTGTTTTTTTTTTATTTTTACTTATTGGTTTCAGAGAGAGAAGAGAGGAGAGAGAAAAATATTGATTTGTTGTTCCACTTAGTTATGCATTCATTAATTGATTCTTGTAGTTGCCCTGACTGGAGATAGAACTCGCAACCTTAGCATATCAGGATGATGCTCTAACAAACTGAGCTACCTGCTCAGGGAATTTTTTTCTTTTGATGTTTAAAGTCATTTTTGGCCCTGGCTGATGTGGCTCAGTGGATCGAATGCCACCCTGCAAACTGAAGGGTTGCTGGTTCGATTCCCAGTCAGGACATGTGCCTGGGTTGCGGGGCAGGTCCCCAGTAGGGGGTGTGTGAGAGGCAACCACACATTGATGTTTCTCTCCCTCTCTTTCCCTTACCCTTTCTCAAAATAGATAAATACTTTTTAAAAGTAAATAAAGGCAAACTTAAAGCTTCCATTAAACTAAAAAGTCCTGCTAGCATAAGTATACCATTTACTTCCCCAATTGGTCGATAGCTTTCACTTGTCATAGGATCTGAAATTTAGAAGAGATTGAGTTAAATAGTATATTACAGTGGTCATAAAGTTTAATACACATGCTTCTCAATTTATTCCACAGCATGCTTCCATTCTAGGCTTAGTATAGTGCTTAAGTTATTAAAGTTATTTCCACAATGACATGTAAATACCAGGTCCACACTGGGGAGTAAAACACAGGAAGCAAATAGCCATCATAAGCACGATCATTTTACAAATTCTCAGGCTCTCCATGGGGACTAAAGGAGACTTCGGATAGAACGGCCAGAACTCATGTCCATGGTGTACAAGATTTCCATTGCTGCTTTTTCCAACAAAGCTGTTAGATAAAGAAAGGTGCATCATGTACCGGTCTGTTTAAAACTTTTTAAAGCAGAGTATTTCTAAATCTGGTACTCTGATTAGTTTATATAAAAGAGCTTCAGATTATTCATTTTGCAGTAAAATTCCATCTTATATGTTAGTATTAATACGCACAACGGAGTCAGACTAAAGTGATCTGGCTGAAAAACAAATGCCAAGAATCCCCTCCAAGTGGAAAATAGATATATTGTTCCAATTTAAGAGAAATTTTCAAATTTACAGAATTATAAGGTTCTTCGCATTAATCTAAGATTTATTTTCTCCAGTTGATGGCCCTTTGATTATATCACTTAAGGGAAGTTGTCAGTTGCTAGATTAATTGTCAACTGCAAAAAATAATTTTTATTTAAAAAATAAGTATGTAGAGCAATGGTGACCTAACAGTAAATTATAACTTTTGCCCTTTATTGAATAAGTAGCACAAGTTTGTTGTGACAGATCTTGAAAACAAAATAGAAAAAGTCACAAGAAAATAAGTCAACCATAATTCCATCATCTAAAGTTAGCTGCTTTTAGTAGTTTTATGAATATCATCTCGAATCGCATTTATATTGTGTACTGTGTGTTTCAGCTTGGTATGTCAATGGAAAAAACAATATAACTGACACACAAACAGGCGTGTCCTAGTTCAGCACTCTGAAAGCAACAAAAAGTTCATCCAGATTTAAGAAATATTTGTCAAAGGCCTGCCATAAGCCAGGCAATGTAACATTTAATCCAGTGGATCCTTTTTAAACTGGCTGTGGTTGTCTTCTGGCTGCAGAGAGGAGGGTAGCACTTGGCTTTTTACAAATTAAAACCTTTTCATTAAGCCATTATAGTCTAGACAGAAAGATCAGGACATATTTCAGTCAAATGACAAGTTGTGTTTGATACTGTATGAGGGCTGATTTTAGTGATGGTGAAGTAAAAATTAAACTTAATTGGTACCTACAATGTGTTCCTGGGTAGTTAGTTTTGCAGTCTACAAGGAATCTCGTACTGCGCCTTGATTACCCTGAGAATCACAGAACTTTATGTAGGGTCTCTTCCTATCTTCGAATCAAATCTGACATCAGTGGGGAAGAAAGAAGGCAGCTGCTCAACCCCACGTATGAAACAAACAGGTTGTAGAGTTGGATTCTATCACTGTGTTGCTGTGCATTGCTATGGCATGGTCAAGCCTAACAGAATTAAAATAGGTATTTCCTTGTTCTTCATTTTACGCTGCTCTTTGGAACAGCTCTGTCCGAAAGGAGTCTCTGGGATACTTCTCACATACTCGTATCTGCGCCATTCAACACGGTAGCCACTGCTGATGTGGCTCGTGAGCGCTGAAATGTGGCTGGTGTGATGGGCGCACTGACTTTTAACTTTTAATCCATGTTAGTAGGTTAGAATTGAAATAACTTCTTTTAGCTAGTGGCTTCCAAATTGGACAGGGCATTTTTAGAACAGGTGGGTAGCCTTTATTTTCATCAGGAGACAACTGATCCACAGGAAAAAAGATAAGCTAATCACATGGAAGTAGAAAACAATTCAATTTTATGTATTTTTGAAAAGTCGCACAAAATGTTACACTCTAATAGTTAAATAGAGGTGCATTATATAGACATGAATTAAATTTGCATCCACTTTATGATACGGCCAATTGAAGGAGAAATGAAAGGAAATGCTGAAGAGAAAGTTGATGTGAGTGGGGGTGGGCAGGAGACAATGTAAAGCTACATAAAGCCATGTACAGAGATGTACAAGAAGCAGAGATAAGTAAGAGAAGGAAGAGAAGATCTGTCTAGGAAATTCCAGTGCAGTGACAGCTATCACAAGGATGTAAGGTGGAAAGGGAGGATTTTCTTACCTCCCACCATAGTACTTTCCAGACTGTAAAAGTTGTTATGTATTTGCTTTGGTCAATCTCTTGTTCCTTTGCATTTAAAATTTTTTTAAAAATTTTAAGTACTTATTTTTAGAGAGAAGGAGAGAAACATCAATGTGTGATTGCCAGGCACGTGCCTTGACTGGGAATCGAACCGGTGACCCTTGGGTTCACAGGCTGGCACTCAGTCCACCCAGCCACACCAGCCAGGGCAATCATCCCTATTTTAAAAATAAACCATTCCTATGACAAAAGAATAGTGTAAAAACATCACAAAGACTTACTAGGTCTCGGGCACTTTGCTAAGCCCTTACCATGATGCATCAGGGCATAGCATCCTCCTGACCTCCTTCTGGTGTCGGTGCAACAGTTTTCTTCCTTTCTGGGGAAAGCAGCGGGAGCATAAACAGGTTAAATGATTGTCTCAAGTTAACAAACAGCTAGAGACGTCAGACTGCATTCTAGTGTGGGTCTACAGAACTAGAACACTAACACCTGACAATCGTAGATTGTTTTTAGTCAGACGCAATTTCTGATTCTCCAGTTTCCGATTTCAACGATACGAGGCATAACTGAGTCACAGAAGAAAAAGGGACACTCTTAAGAACCTCTCAGAACCGCCTTTTACATGATAATCTAATATTTTAGTCCGGTTTATAGTGTGATGGTTTATACTTTATGAGTGACGAAGTCCATTATGTAAACTGTTCACATTAATCTGGTGTGTTTTACAGGTGGTTGCTGTCTATGGGACTTTATCCGATTTGCTTTCTGTGGCCAGCAGTAAACTCGGCATAAAAGCCACTAGTGTGTATAATGGGAAAGGTGGACTGATTGATGATATTGCTTTGATCAGGTAAATTTCACCTTTTTATAAGCTCTCTACCATGAGCTCTTAGCTACTTGGTGCTATGCTAATTTCCCTGATGCCATGGTTTAATCACTGTTGAAGAGTTTGAGATTTTGGCAAATGATTGCCTAGAATTTGCTCTTTGGAATTTATTTAAATCATTTGAACTCAAGATGTATCTATCAGATAGAAAATCCTCAGTACATTCCAATGTATTGATAGTCTCTCTGCATAGTTCATATATGACTATGAGAAATTTCCTTATGGTACTAAAGATGGAGCTAGTAAGACATGCATTTTTTTAATGTTAGAAATCAAATTGATCTTTTTAATTTATGTGTTAGTTTATTCAGTTGATTTCCTACAAATGCTTTGAGTTTTAAAAACATTACAGAGATCTACTTTGGTGAAAACTTACTAAGCAGTGTTAACTCACCAGCGATCCACCACGACAGTGGTGTTTGATTTGTTTTTTCAGTTTTGGTTTTTAAATATCACAGGCAGAATTAATCTCTTTAAAACAAGTACCTAGCTCACCCCGTCCCATCCTCATTGAGTCATAGAGTTTTGAGGCTTAACAAAGACGGGTGGGAACACAGATGCCCGAGGTGTGCCAGGTCTGTCGTGTTCACTTTGCCGTGTTGTCTCGTTTCACTGGCAAAGTGTGGGTGGGCTTTTTTTCAAATGATGGAGAATATAGTATACAAAATTTAATCTTCATTTAACTCCAGGTCAGAATGGCTTTTCAGTCTAATAGACGTACTACCTTTGAAGTTAATCACTTATAGTCCTTCATTTTAGAAATGAAGAAACTCAACATCTGAAAAGTGAAATGACTTTTCAGTAACTCACAGTTACTTACTGATTTTGTTAATGAGAAGAAAACAAAGTTTCATACTCGTCTTAAATAGTTAACTGGGATAGTGAACAAGTAGAAAAGATTATAAACTTAAGAGATACAAGTTTAAAATCCAAATAAAGTAGAAGAATTTCTTAGTTTTTCAATGCCTTCCAGATTCTTTCAATTTTTATGCGTAACTGAGTCACATTGTTGAATGATTTACATCAGCCCAAACTTCTTAACAAGCACAGACTCTGCTTCTGAGGAAAATTCACTGTGTTCCTGTGATGTTTTACAGAAAGTAAAACTTTCTGCAGCATAGAGGTCATAAACCTCCAGCACTATAAACTCTGCCTGTGTGATAGCGATGGTGGTATGGGTTGGGGCCTCGGGACGACCTGCACTGAGAATCCGGGATTTCAGATTGTGTGCAGTTATTTACGTTTGGGGCAGGGTGGTGGGTATAGAGCAGGTGAGTGTTTACAGCAGTTATTTCTAGCTATGTTCCTCCTACATTTAATACAAAAGTTTATTTTCATTTCCAAAGCACAGAGGAGCTGATGATTTGGGAGAAAACCCCAGTAAACTATTTAGGGTTGTGGAGTTAAAGTTGGCACGGGCTGTAATCGTGTCCTTTGAACATGCTTCAATAGATGAGAAAGCTGAATTCTATAATTTGTATAGCAGGTTTTGTTTTGTTTGCTTTCCATTTCAGAAGTGCTTTCATGTGCAGGATCTTACTGCAATTGAAATCCAAAGACAGTTAAATCAGTCAGTTAAACAAAGAAAGCACTGGGAACTTAACAGAGTCAATTTCAAGATACAGATTGATAGCCAAACCTGTCTAATCTACATAATTCTAAGGAACAGTCCCTGTATTCAGCAGATAAGTCATGTGATTTCTGGATTTTGATGGCGGCTTTTTAAATTCTGATCTTCCCCAGGGATGATGATGTTTTGTTTGTGTGTGAAGGAGAACCGTTCATCGGTAAGTGACTTCCTTAAAAGCCAATTTTGTCTGCCAAAATAAAAGAGATAGAATGACAACTTTTACCTATCTTAACATTAAAAAGTATTTTGTGGTAGTGTTCAGATTTTCATACACTTTTTGATTCTGCATTGGGTGTGCATGTTAAATTTTTTAATTTACTTGTAGGATTATATTTTACCATGGATACCTTATCTTTTACATACTTTTAAAATGCTCTGGCTGGGTACAGATACATTAAACATGACATGATGGAGTAGTTTGGATTGCAGAAACTATAGTCGTTTTGAAATTTTCTCTTTCATAGAGGTGGTCACAATTTCTCTGTTATGCTGCATAGCTTTAAGCACGTCCTGCAGCATTAGTAATGTTTAACACTGTCAGAGTGGCCAGAGCAAATCAGTCAGAAATCACTGGGCCACACACACGTGCACACACTGCCCTTCTATTTGGAAGCAAGCTGCCGCAGCTGTGTAAGGCTACAGGACCGTGCATGTTCTCTAACAAGTATTTGGTATATTTGGTTTCACACGCTCACACCCAGCACACTTTAATATTTTTTGAGCCATCGCAGCAGTTGTAGTTGGTGAGTGGAGGTGATTCTCAGGATCACCTCGTGGCAGTTTGCAACTGTGTACCCTTCTCCATCTCTACCTGGGAGCAGAACATTTTTTCTGATCTTCTTTGGTTGTCAGGCAGTGGTCACTTAATTGGTTCACTGTATACATACAAACACCAAAATAAAAGTGATCAGTTGGTGTTTGTTTTTGTTTATCCTATGAACTCTTGCTCTTAAAAGTATTTGGTATATTTTCATCCTCTGTTTTAATTGATGCCTGGATTATCCTGTTCTGGGCCAGGGGAAACCTCTTGAAGTCCTTTTAACCACAACCTCATCAATGTTGTAGCTTCCTTACTGTCTGGAGTAATAAGGTGTTTCATCTCACACTTCTCCCGTCCTAGATCCTGACCGACGATTTCTCCAGGAAGCCTTGATTTCTTTTAGTGAGATATACCGTGGTTACTAGGCTTTTTAGTGGACAGAGTTGGAAATACATGCTAGCCAGATATAAAATTTATATGTATATGTTTTTTATGATATTAACCTTTATATATAACATATGTTATCTCGTGGGTTCGTGCTAATACTTCTGGTATGTGACCAGGATTATAAATATTTATTTAACTTTTGTCTTACATCTCCTTTGTTACATATCAATAATCTTGATTTTCAGGGACATTGGGAGTGATAGAATAATAATGTCACATAATTACTCATTTACTTAAGGCATTATTATTATTGTTGTTTTTATTTACTTCTGTGTGTCTTCTAGTTTAATCTTCATTTCCAAAATTGGTTGTTTTTTTTTTATTTCCCATTGTCTCCTGAGTTCTCACTTCATTTCTGAATTCTGTAATTCCGGTTATGCTATTCTTTTATAACTTCTATTATTCACTTCTTAGAATAAAGAATTCACTTAAAGAATTCACTTCTTTAGAATGTTTTGGACTATTAGGTTATAGTTTTTAATCTATTTTATGGGCATTTCCTTCTGGCACATTTCATAGGGATGTAGCTCTTACTCTTTTAAACAACTTGATATGGAATTGATCTCAGTTTTTTTCTGGTGCTCAATTTTATTTGAAGTTAGTTTTCCATGACTTAGGAAAGCTTTTCGTATTTCAGGGCCCTAGAGCTCCCTTTTCTGTGGTTTTTATGAAGTGTTGAAAAAATGTGGAACTCACCTCTGATATATTCTGGTTCTTTAGAATAGTGAACCTTTCTGACTTTTAGCTGTAATCTTTTTTCTTTGTCTCTGTTTTGTGTCCAGCTTTTGTGTCCAGCTTGGATTCTTTTCCCAGCAGCTTGTCTGCAGTGTGGGACTTAGTCTTAGAAAGGCCGTTTTGGCTCCTGGGTTCAGAGAGTTCATTTCCAGCCTGGTCAGCTCTGACTGCAAAGGACTTGCGTCACTGATGGGAGGAGTGGGCATGCCCCTCCCACTCTGTCTGCATTTCTCCAATGCACTTGCTGAGCTGCGAAGTGAATATTTGGGGATTCCTTTGGAACTCTTCGGTTTGTCACTGTACTCTGTCGTTTCTCTCAGCTTCTTCCTTCCCAGATGCTAATCCCGTGCTGCTCTCTAGCTGCTCGTGTTGATGGGAACACCTTATCACCTCGTTTTGTTTTAGATGTTGTCTATGGGTGTCAGTTTGGCTGTTCTAGTAACGCTGGTATACCTTTATTGTGTTTTTAGTTTTAAAAATTCTGCTATTGCCATCTTCCCCAAATAGCAAATGTAAATATATTCTTCTTTTCCCCATGTCATCACCAGACCCTCAGACAGAGTCTAAACCACCGGAAGGGCTGTCAGGACCCCACACGGACTGGCTCACACTAAACGTTGGAGGGCGGTACTTTACCACCACGCGGTAGGTGCGTGTGCAGTGTGTGTGCCTGTGGGGGGGCACTGTGCACTCTTTACTCTTTGGTATGCTGATTGCCTTCGAAGATACTGAAATGCTGCTTAAATAGACTGTGCTTGGAAACTGCTTTTTTAGAAAGTTCCTTTTAAAGAAAAGAGAAAAAATACGATTTACAAGTCATTCCAGAGAAAGCATGAAAAGCATGACTTCAGTGTTTTGTGGTTTTTTTAAATCTAATTTACCTATCTTTAAAGGGGAAGGGAAGGAGAAAGGAGAGAAAGATCAATGCATGGTTGCCCCTCATGCATCCCCTGCTGGGAACTGGCCCGTAACCCAGGCATGTGCCCTGACCAGGAATCGAACCATAATCCTCTGGTTCAAAGGCCCGCGCTCAATCCACTGAGCTATACCAACCAGGGCAAGCTACACTAGCCAGGGCCAGTGTTTTAGAACATGCTGTTTAGGTATTCACTAATATAGGTGCAACGCTAGTTAAAGTTAACAGTATTGAAATTCGGGGAGACTACAGCAGCTTATATGAATAAGGAGTAAGTTTAGATCAAGATTATTACGATATAGTAGTTTACTAGATGGATAGATTTGGTTTTAAATTATAGGAAACTAAGACAATATGTAGGTCAAAGTCAGTGCCAGTTTAGCAGGGATTTGGACAAATGGCGACTTACTGCGCGTTTTTGTTCCCCAGCACCGCTCCGGCCAGGTTGTAGCATGCGTCTTTTTGAGAGAGCAGCTGGGATCGAGTATACTCTTGACTTAAATATGTTTGTTTATAAAGACAAATGGAGAAATCCATTTTTTTCCCTGAATTCTTAGGAGCACGTTAGTGAACAAAGAGCCCGACAGTATGCTGGCCCACATGTTTAAGGACAGAGGTGAGTGCGGCCCGAGGTTTTCATGTCTCGTGTGATCTGTTGTAGCCCTGGTGGCTTTATGTCTCTTGTCCTTCCGCTCTTTTTAATGATATTGATAGTTTTTACAAAAGTAGAAACTTACTGGTAGGTTGTCCAGTTTTTCTTGTGTAAACTTATAACTTTGGTTTTCCATTACGGGGGGGCTCTCTTCGTTTCATTGATAACAGGTGTCTGGGGAAATAAGCAAGACCACAGAGGAGCTTTCTTAATTGACCGAAGTCCTGAGTACTTTGAACCCATTTTGAACTACTTGCGCCATGGACAGCTCATTGTAAATGATGGCATTAATTTACTAGGTGAGTTTCCAATATAATTCCTCACAGTTTTATAAGGTCACAATTTTAATTATGTTTTCACTTGCTTACTAATGTAGTATATTTTCATAAACAGAAGGTGTATCTCAGTGGTTTACTTGCGCATTTGGCCCATGGACACCACAAGTGTGAGCTGCAGGAGCCCCACTTACACACACATTGTTTTCTGTGACTAGTATGCAGTTGGCCCTCCACGCCCACGGGTTTCACATCCTCATTCGGATTCAACCAAATGCAGATCAAAAGCAGATCAAAAATGGTATTTTTGATCCATGGTTGGGAATCCCTGCTTGCAGAGCACTGTGAGCATTGTTCGATGCCATCTTATTCAAGGGGCTTGAGCATCCATGGATTTGGGTATCCGCTGGGGCCCCCTGCAGCCAGTCTTCCACAGATCCCAAGAACAACTGAACTTTTGGAAGAGTCAGAAGTTTGATGCAGATTATTGACTGCATGGGGTTGACCCTCTAACCCCCACTGTTCAAGGGTCAACTGTATATGAATGTATACTCCGTGATTTTCAACTTTTTCCATCTCATGGCATGCATAAACTAATCACTAAAACTGTGGCACACCAAAAAAGTGTTTTATTGCCAATCTGAAAAAAAATAGGTATCATTTTGATTCATTCACACCAGGTGGCTATTGTTCTGTAAGTTGTCATTTTTTTGTTTGACAATCTAAGGGAAAAGAGGTCAGTGCCACTGACTAGTTAGTTAGATGTTAAAAATTCTTGTGGCACACCTGTTGGAAATCATTGGCCTATAGGTATAGAAATAGACAGAGGCACAGGTATGTAGTCTTGGGGAAAGTCTCTCGAGCACCCTTGAACGTTAAAAAGACACTCACAGAGACTTCCAGTCAAGATGGAGGGGGAGGTGAATGCTGTGCCCCCTCCTCCCACAACCACATCAGAATAACAGCTAAATTACAGAACCACTACCCGCAATGTCCACCCAAAGACTAGCTGAACAGAATGCCCACGAGTAAGGATATAAAGAAGAAACCGCATTAAGCCCGGGAGGAGGGGAAGAGACACGAGGTGGGCCAGTTTCCACTGCACGTGTGGCAGTTAAGAATGGGAAGAACATCTCTGCTGCCATGGCCCCCCTGAGGAGCAAGTGTCCCAGGCCCACCCGGTACCACTGCTGGGCCCAGTGAAAAGCAGCAGGGATTCCTACAGGTGGGAGGAAGGGCCAGGTGCTTTTGACCCAGGCCTCCTCCTAAAGGGCCTGGGTGCAGGCTCACTCACCCAAGGGACCACAGCTGGGAAGCACCAGGGACGAACAGGAGGAACTTAAGTGCCTGGCTTCAGGGTGAGGGCTGGAGAGGCAGCTAGCTCTCTCCCAGACAGCAGTGCAGGTAGGACTTCCGGCCAAGATGGAGGCGTAGGTGGAAACACTGTGCCTCCTCGCACAACCAAGTTTAAAGACAACAAAGTTTTAGTAACAAAAACGCAACCAAAAAACAGAAAATTGAACTGTACGAAAGTCCGACAACAACGAACCATTCAGCCAGACCGGCAAGAGGGGTGGAGCTGGCGGAGTCGCGTGGCACAGGAAAAGTGGCCAGACTAACCCAGGCGCATGTAGGCGGCGATTGGCAGATCCCAGGTGCGGGGTGCCAGTGGGCGGACCCAGCGCAAGGCAGCTGGCTGACCTCAGTCACGCATTCGCACACAGATAAACCAGGCAAAGGAGCGAGCAGTGAGACAGACCATACAACCAGGGCCCCAGTGATGGGAACTAAAGCCTAAAAGCACCAATTGGAAAAACTTTCAGGATTGAGGTGCTGGGAGAAGCTCCCAGGCTCATAGAGTTTTTGTTGGAGAGACCCACAGGGTCCTAGAGGGTGCACAGGGCCACACACCCAGGAGCCGGCACCAGGGGGGCCCGGTTTGCTTGCAGGAGGCTGCAGAGGGGACTGAAATCCGAGAGAGAGCGGAACAAACGCCATTGCCCCTCTCTGACCCTGCCCTCACATACAGCGTCACAACCCAGCAACTGGATCGCCCCACCCTGGTGAATACCTAAGGCTCTGCCCCTCATATATAACAGGCACCAACAGACCAAAACATTATGGTTCAAAAAGAACAGCTCAAAGCCCCACAGCCAATACTTCTAAGTGACCAAGAAATAGCCAACCTATCAGATGCACAGTTTAAAACACTGGTGATCAGGATGCTCACAGAACTGGTTGATTTTAGTCACAAATTTGAGGAACATATGAAGGCTAAACTAATTGAAATGAAGGGAAGTACACAGGAAACCAATAGTGATGGAAAGGAAACTGGGACTCAAGGGAGTGGACCAAAAGGAGGAAAAAAATGACCAAACAGGAAACAATGAAGAAACAAGAATTCAAAAAAATGAGATGAGGCTTAGGAATCTCCAGGACATCTTTAAATGTTCCAAAATCCAAATTATAGGGGTAGCAGAAGGGGAAGAAGAAGAGCAACAAGTGGAAAACTTATTTGAACGAATAATAAAGGAGAACTTCCCCAAGCTGGCAAAGGCAGTAGACTTCCAGGAAATCCAGGAAGCTCAAAGAGTCCCAAAAAAGTTGGACCCAAGAAGGAACACACCAAGGCACATCATCATTACATTAGCCAAGATTCAAATGAAGGAGAGAATCCTAGAAGCAGCAAGAGATAAGGGGACAGTCACCTACAAAGGAGTTCCCATCAGACTGTCAGCAGATTTCTCAAAAGAGACCTTACAGGCAAGAAGGGGCTGGAAAGAAGTATTCCAAATCATGAAATCCAAAGACCTACATCCAAGATTGCTCTATCCAGCAAAGCTTTCATTTAGAATGGAAAAGCAGATAAAGTGCTTCTCAGATAAGGTCACATTCAAGGAGTTCATCATCACCAAGCCCTTATTCTATGAAATGTTAAAGGGACTTAAGAAAAAGAAGATAAAAAATATGAACAGTGAAAGGGCAGCAAACTCACAGTTATTGAGAACCACACCTAAAGCAAAAGCAAACTAAGAGGACAGCTAGATCAGGAGTGGAACCATAGAAATGGAGATCACATGGAGGGTTAGCAACAGGGGAGTGGGAGAAGAAGAAGGGGGGAGAAGGTACAGAGAATAAGTAGCATAGATGGTAGGTAGAAAATAGATAGGGGGAGGGCAAGAATAGTAGGGGAAATATAGAAGCTAAAGAACTTCAGACAGGGACATAAACTAAAGGGGGAGAAATGGTGGGGGAGGGGGTGTGCAGGGTGGAGGGGAATGAAGGGGGCGAATAGGACAACTGTAATGGCATAATCAATAAAATATATTAAAAAGGAAAAAAAAAGAAGTGCAGGTAGATGCCATTGTCCTGGGCTGAGCCCTCCGGCCACACCACTGTGGTTGCACATTCAAGTTTATAGGCCTCCAAGTGACTGGATTTGGTCTGATTTAAGGAGTGGCCGGAGTATATGTGTCTTCACATCTTCCACAGATTATTGCCACGGGTATGGGCCTAGCATGCCAGAGCCTCGATTTTTTTAAAGAACACCTGGAAATCAAAAATGTTAGTGAAATTTGATTTTGAAAACACTGCATGTTAAACAGGCCACAGTCAGCCTACAGGGCTGCTGGATTACAGTCTGTGTTGTAAACTTTTTATTTTAACCATTCTGCAAAAATTATTATAAAAGTGACCAATGATCCACTTTTTTACAAAACCTTTTCTTTTCATCAACTGTATCACACTGCTGCTTTTTACTGTAATGGCCTCCCCTTGTGATTGCATTTAAACCTCAGCCTCAGGGGCCCGGTGGGCCCCTCAGAGCCCCAGCCTCCCTGCAGTGATGGCGATTCCAGTCCTCCTTTCTCTGACGTGAGCGTTGCGCGCCGGGCATTGCCAAGCTGCGCATATTTCTCCTCTGTGGCGTTTCTCTGCTGTTGCTCATTTATTCAGGTGTTTGGCAAACTGAGCTCTCTCCTGATTCATTTTACATAGCATTGTTTTAAGTAGTAGAGTTTCCACCAGACTCTCTACATTGGCTATAAGTCACTGCAAGTAACTACACACTTTAAAATAATCTACAATAACTGATACATCTTCTTCCCACTTAATCTTATTCTTTGCTCTTCCCAATCTGTGCCGTCACCAGTGTGTTTTGTTTACCTTCATCATTTCTTTCACTCCCTGCCTTGAAGGGCCTTCACTTTTTTCCAGGGAATCATTTCTCTTTGTCTTCTTTCATTTGTCTTCAAAACACTTTCCCTGACCTAAATCATCCTTTTCATATTTTTTAGCCAGATCTTACCTCAATTCAATTATTGTACTAGCTTGAGAACATTTCTAGCATTTCCTTTCATTATCTGTTTCCCTGAAGTTAACATGAATTTTCTTATGCCCAGTTGGATACAGAAAAAAAAGGCCCCGGCTGGTGTGGCTCAGTTGGTTGGGTGTCTTCCCACAGACCGAGGGGTCAGGTTTGCTACCACAAGTTTGTGGTCAGGGCACAGGCCTGAGTTGCTGCTTCAGTCCTCAGTCCTCTGTCGGGGCCTGTGTAAGAGGCAACCAATAGATGTTCCTCCCTCGCCTCGATTCTCTCCCTTCCTTCCCCTCCCTAAGGAATGAGTAAAATCTTTTTTTTTTTTTAAGAAATCTTTTAAAAAATTGATTCTCTTGTAAGAAAGATTTCAGAATTATAGTTTTGACTTTTGCTTTGAAGTTTACTTCGATCATTTCCATAATTTCCTAGTTCAGTAAGTATGAGATATTTGTGATAAACCTATTCAGATCTGCTCCGCTTGACTAGGTCAATGGAATGTTAAGCGTAGGTGAACTAATTATTTTTTACTGGATTCACAATTAAATCACCATATCAGTTATTTTAAGAATGTGTGATAAGGAATTTTTGCATGTGGCTTCTTTTAAATATTTTTCAGAAATGATTTTGAAATGTGGAAGCCTTTTATTCTATTTATATAGTTTTCCATTTTTTCCTTTTGCTGAATGTAAACTACTTACTTTGTTTTACAGATATTTTTAAATATCCTATTGTGTCCTAAACATGGGTTGTTTTTATTCTGTATTGATTGATAACCTGCTTGTTGATTTTCTTTTATTGTGAGAATTTAATGTAAACAATTCTATACATATTAAAATAAAGTTTTCTGTAAAAGTCAAATCACTTTTATTATGATAGGTGTGTTAGAAGAAGCCAGATTTTTTGGTATCGACTCATTGATTGAACAGCTAGAAGTGGCAATAAAGGTAAGGCTCTTTTTGCACTAGCCAACATTATGTTTATTGTAGCTGCCTCCCAGAATGCACCACTAATTTCTTAGTATCTTTTTTCAAGAATTCTCAACCACCAGAAGATCATTCACCCATATCTCGAAAGGAATTTGTCCGATTTCTGCTAGCTACTCCAACGAAATCAGAATTGCGGTGCCAGGTAATTAAAGCAGATTTTTACGAGAGTTATTTGTGTCAGCAAATCTGTGAATAACATTTGCATTCTTCTAGGATTCTTGTTTTGCCTCATTTTCCTTTTTCGTGCAAGATATAATTTAATTATGAGCCATAAAATTGATGTAATCTTAAAGTGATTAGCAAAAAAGGGATGTGTAATAGCCTTTTTATGGTGCAATTATCCCATGTGTGGGACTTTTTGAGTAATGCATGGAAATTCCAGCAGTAAAATAAAAAGTCAGTTGTTTGTATAGTTATGTATGGCTAGACTGGCTTTTACTTTTACACTTATGTTTTATGGCATGAAAGGTTTTAAAAACCATGATGTTGCCTTTTCAAAATTGAAACTATCTGGAATTATTGAATTAATAAAATAAATATAATTAGGTTTAACAAAAATAATACTTGTCTGTGGGTATGTGGCTAACTGAGATCCCTTTTATAGAGTTCTGCATGTAAATGAGGTATAGCCCGGCTGCATTCTGATGCTAAATGGTTCCTTCTCCTGGAACCCATTCAGGACACTGATTTCCTGTGTCTGAGTTCCATTCGATCGTGTTTGGTAATAAACTCCAAATGACTGAACCACCAATTGCTTCTAAAAAACTTGGTGGTTATGCTATAGTAATTAAATTTAATACAACAGATGGTTTAAATGTTGTGACAGTTTGGTTTTTTTAATTTCAGGGTTTAAACTTCAGTGGTGCTGATCTTTCTCGTTTGGACCTTCGATACATTAACTTCAAAATGGCCAATTTAAGCCGCTGCAATCTTGCGCATGCTAATCTCTGCTGTGCAAATCTTGAACGAGCTGATCTGTCCGGATCAGTGCTTGACGTAAGAACCACTTTTGGTTACAAGAGAATTTTTAGTCTATTGAGCATTCTCTTTTTTTTATTGTATTTTTTTCATTACCATTTAATATCCTTATACCACCCTTGCCCAAGCAGTCACCACACTGTCATCCATGTCCATTTGTCCTTTCTCCTTTTCGGTCTATTGAGTATTCTCAAAGAGCAAAAATTACATCTGTCTTTCGCGAAGCTTTTACTTAAACACTGATAAAACTGAGGGTGAAATGGTCGGCTTTGTAACTGGCTCGCTCCTTCTCTGTACATCTATATGTGTATCTGTTTACATGTGTGTGTGATTTGAGGGTAGATGATACATGTAGAACCAACAGTGAAATCTCCTAACTTCTAACAACTTCAGATTCCTTAATAACAAAGCCCATATCTATATAAGTTTGTATGTCTTTCAAACTAACAACGCTTAATATAATACAGGCTTTTCATAGTCATTGAATAAATGTTTATTGAATGTTATAATTTTGGTTTCATTCCTCAAATACAACCTATTTTTCCATGAAGCTTATGCAGATGTAGGAACAGAGTCTCCCAATGTACATCCAATATACATTCTTTCTTTTTTTTTTAACTCACCTTGTTCCATTTTATGATAAAGGGTCAAATTGGTAGACAAACTAATGAGATGATGAAAAGCATAAAGAAGAGGTTTGAAGGACCCAGTCTTCAAATAGTGAAATGTGAGGAGACAGCTTAGGTGGTTTTTAGGGACAGAAAAAAGCTCAAACAGTCTGGGTCACTCAGCACAGCTGGTTTTGAGTGCTATTTAATTATAGCATTCGTAAATGTGAAGCTGAACGATATTTTCTTATCTGTAAATACTTATTCTACCCATAAGGTATAATTGATGTAAAGGTCAAAAATATATATATATTTGATAAACTGGTGTGCTTTAAAATTGTAAATTTAATTATTAATGATGAAAATGGCTTATGCTGGAGAGTCATTGCCCACAGTGTGTAGGCTGTGAAAGTCAAAACTGACCACTAATTGTCCTCAGCACGGGACGCTGACTGCTGATGAACAGCTGGGGCAGTGCAGCGTCCGCAAAATGCAGGTGTGCCGAGCGCTGTGGCGGTGCCCACGCGGTGGCTCCACTGTCTCGTTGGACTCCACACCCCATCTCTCCCTCCTGTATAACAACTACAGTTATCACTTACATAATGCTTTAACCAATTTTAAACACTTTAACATTCATATCTACTTCTATGGTCCTGATTTTGTGAAGGTCTTATGTTAACGTCACCCTAACAGCATCCTCCCTTATATAGTAGTTGTCAGAGTTTAGATCTGATGGCACTGAACCCTTTGAGATAAATCGACATCATTTAAAATTCTAACATCCGTTTTCTAGCTTTTTACTCTGTGTTTCACACTGCGATTTGGGTGCTTAAGGTTGCCAGTGCTGTGTGGCAACAGTTAGTACAAGACCCAGTTAACAACTTGTGTGCCAGCTGCGTGCTCCTTTCATTGCTGGCTTTTGCACTCTGGCCTTTGAAATGAAGGTAGTAATAGCATGACTAAACGTCCAGAATATCACTGACTGACTGCTGCAGTAACGGGGAAGAGAAAATCCATACCCCTAACCAGCTTATGCTTTCATACACTTCAGCTGTCACCTGGCATGCCCAGGGCAGTTTATAAATATGGGAATAGGTACATCAGATCTCCGCTCCCCGACTTCCTTATCCACACACTCTTAAGTTTCACCGAAAGTGGGCATGGTGTTGTTGACTTTATTTCTTTTAAAAGTATTTAACACAGTCCTCAGTTCGTCTTGAGTTCAATTGGAAAAGTTTTGATTGTGAACAGAAAATAATTGTCAGTGTATCAGATTGAACCTTTCTTCCTTTTTCTAGGTTTTTCTTTCACTTTGACAAGAAAAAATTCTGAGACATTCTAAATGAAAAGTATAGCGGCTGGAGAGTGAAAGAACAGAAGTTAGCTTGTGAATAGCTGTCAGTAGCTCTGATGAAAGACTGCTCGCATTCCCGTATATCTTTGGAACTTAGGGTTAATTTCGAGGTGGCTGTTTCTGAGATTATCCAAAGGAGAGACTAGCCAAGTGCCACTGGACCGCAGGAGCCTCCCCTGCGTATTTACACATTAACTTTCCAGTCTGCCGCCTCAGGTGCAGACCTTGCCCCGCCGCTGTGCGGTGCGTTTGCCAGGGCCGGCCCTTTGTCTGTAGCTAATGTCAGTCCTTTAAGAACGGCTTGCCTTTCTCTTGCCTTCCTTGATGTATGAAAACACTAGCCAACTCCAGAACAGGACGTACCTGTCTTTCTGCCGTGGGCAGCTTAGACTCGGTGGCCCAGGACCTGTCTCCCTGTATTGCCAGCAATAGCCATTTCTTTTAAAAAGACTTGCAGCTGTGGCAGTTAAATAGATTTTTGTTTCACAACTGTTTAAGCCATTGTTTTCTTTTCCAAACAAATTCTGAACCTTAAGACATGGACTTTGTTTCTCTCGTTTGCCAGTGTGCAAATCTCCAGGGAGTCAAGATGCTCTGCTCTAACGCAGAAGGGGCCTCCCTGAAGCAGTGTAATTTTGAAGATCCTTCTGGTCTTAAAGCCAACTTGGAAGGTGAGGTTCTGTCTCTACATACCTTTTCTGAGGGGAAAACATGCTGGGAAGTAGAAAGCCCAGCAGAGCAACTGTTCCTGGTAAGACGTGACCGTGGGTGGATTTGCTCTGGTGCCATCGGAGGAGCTTCAGGCGGTGACGCCGACAGCCGGGGGGGACCCAGCCTCAAACATTCATGAGGCCTCAGCTGCAGAATTAAATGTCAACATCTTAAACTTTCAAACAGAACAACACAGTCACACACTGACCAAAACTAAGGACTTCAGTTTGCACAAGCCCGGACAGTTTTTGTTGTATTTAGGTTTAATGTACTGTTTGTCATTTTCTTAATGCCTTGCTGTATCTGCGCACTGGTCACTTTGTTTACTTGTGTGCTGAGAGGACATGGCACTTATCTCCTTTGTCACGAACTTATGGAGGTGAGTATAAAAGTGCTAATTATCATAAGACCGAATTAAAGTCCTCACTCAAAAATACAGAGTAAAACATTCTTAATTCATGCTATGAGCTGACACCTCAAGAACAGTGAACTGGATGTAAGTTGGCTGAGACACTGAGATTTGAGGTTTCAGAATCCTTTTCAAAAGCTGCAGGCGCCTGTCATTCTCTTTCCTGTAAATTGTATTGTGGTGTTTTTGAAGTTAAGTGACTGTAAATACGGTTAAGTTTAACTAATCCCCAAACACGTTCACTCTAGGTGCTAATCTAAAAGGTGTAGATATGGAAGGAAGTCAGATGACAGGAATTAACCTGAGAGTCGCTACCTTAAAAAATGCGAAGTTGAAGAACTGCAACCTCAGAGGAGCAACTCTGGCAGGAACAGATTTGGAGGTGAGTCACCAGTTTTTAACGAGTTTTTTCGGTTCTAGAGTCAATGAGCACCTCCTACAAAATTCATTGAAACCATACAGTGGTTGGCTGGTAAAAACTTCCAGGTGACAGGCCAGCTTAGCTGGAGGGACGTCTCCTTGCAGCTATTTGTTGAAACCCACATGAATTCCAGGGGAGGATCAGTACCTGAGTCAGGGATCCAGTTCCGGGTCGGAAGATTCACCTGACATTTGAAGTTGATTTCATTTCTCTCTGTTTCTTAGTTTTTCTCATGGAGATAAGTTTGATAGGTGCTTTATTAACCTAATGTATTGTTTTGCTTAAGTTTTATTTTCAAACAATTACACAGAGCCAGATTATTTCTTGAACTGCTTGGGAAATTTAAAAAATATCCAGGTTTGAAAGCCTATTCTAAATCGGCATCGTATTCTTTTTAAATCTCAATGCGAGATTGCGATTGGCCCAGTCGGCTTCCTCGTCAGCACTGTCTTCTCCACGTGGCCTTCCGGCCGACTCCTCGCTCTTGCTGTCCGGCAGGCGGCCCGCCCTCTGCAGGTACGGACGCACTTGGTGTCTGTTCAGTGCAGTGGCCATCAGCCACCTGTGGCTGCTGAACACTTGATATGTGGCCGTGTAAGTGGTAGATGGGTTTTTAAATTTGATTTAATTTTAATTCATTTAAATATAAATGGTCACATGCAGTACTGTCATATTGAGCAGTACAGCCCTGTCCCTACACGGGAAAATCTGGTGTAGATTGGGGTGTACGTTAAATTGCCGATTAGGCGTTCCCAGCAAGGGACGCATGAGAGGCAACCACACATTGATGTTTCTCTCCCACTCTTTCTCCTTCCCTTCCCCTCTCTCAAAAAATAAAAATAAAGAAAATATTTAAAAAAAAAAAAAAAATTTAGCTTGCTGTTGATTTTTCTAAAAATGTTTTTGTCTTATTCCCTTGATAGCTCTAAGCAGCAGAGTAGCGGGTTCTATTTAATTGAAGGCAAAAGAACCAGCCTAAGGCTGAAGATATAAACCTATTTAAGCAGCAGTATTTAATTTTTAATCGTTTGTTAACTGTCACCTAAAAATGATGATGTTTTTCCTTGATTTTTGCTGCCCTGCAGTCAGCGTGGTAAACAGCCCAAGCCTCCCTCTGTCCAGCCAATTGCAGGGGCTGGTCAGGTCACCTGCCGAGGGACAGCTGTCAACACTGGGACCTGAAAGCTTCTGTGCAGTCACTCCCTCTCTCACCACTGTCCCCACCATCCCCAGGGGCTTGTCTCATCTGTCCCTCTGTGATCGGAGGAGAAATTTGAAAGCAGCTTGCAGCAGTGGTGGGGGGTTACACTGTTGTGTACATTTGTTTAAACTCATTAAATTGTACAGGTGATTTTGGAGCTTAAAAAGGCAATTCCTCGCTATAAAAATGTTTTGGTTGAGGAATGGAAAAATCTGTTATACAGTTTAATTGTTAAGTAAAATCTCCTTTTCTCAGATTTTTAAAAATAGTCACTGTGCCCCTCCTGTGCCTTCCATTGTTATTCTCAGATTGTGGTAAAATTGTTTAGGTAGCATTTACTACATTGGAGTCCATTCTAGATTTTAAAATCCAGAATCATTCTGGACTGATTCTAAAATACATGATCAGAAGGGACATGCTCCTTGTTAACCCGTGTGTGTGTGTGTAATGTATTTGTGGTGGTCAGCCAGAGCATGACCAGCTGGTGGTCAACTAGAGAGAACAAATACAGATACCAGAAAATCTGACTTTCTTCTGAAACAGAAGCTTTCCAGAAATAACTGAGTTTTCTTCTATAGGAACATTTGCCTAACTTGCCCAGGAATCTTTCTGAAAGGCAACGGGCAGACCCCTAAGTCTCTGTGTTAGTTATTGGGTATCATCTCTGCCTTTCAGAACTGCGACCTGTCTGGGTGTGACCTGCAGGAAGCCAACCTGCGAGGCTCCAACGTGAAGGGCGCTATCTTTGAAGAGATGCTGACACCACTGCACATGTCACAGAGTGTCAGATGAGAGTTTCAAGGCTGCAGGAAGAAGCTCAAGACGACAGATGTTTTCCTTAATCACTTTTATTTCTCCACTCACTCGGCTGTCTAGAAGAAATAACACTGTAAGGAAATTAAAGAGAAAAACATTTAGAGGATTATGCTTGTTCTCAGTGGTGCATAGGGGGGAAAAAGTGACTTTTCCCTACATTCTGACTTTACCAGAAAAGCATTCATTCAGTAGACATAGGGAAGCTAGATTAGACGCTGCCTTCCGAGTGGAGTAGGGGGGCTTGCCTGGCTTCGTGACCAGGAATAGTACCTATTATATTTGCTTTTAAATAGGCATGGTATGGAAATGTTGTACCATCTTGGCTTGAAATTTGAGGATTTTAATTTATGAGAAGCACAACATATACCATTATATTTATTGAGCCTCTAGAGGCATACGGATCAGTACATTGTGAAGCTCCGTGAACATTTTCCAGAGGTTGTTCATGTTATGAGAAGCTGTGGCAATGACTCCCCCGCCTTACCCATCACACCGTGTGAGCACGGTGACATCCGACGCCCCAAGGCTTGCACTTCAGGTTCCTTTTTTTATGTTTTTTTTTAACAGAATAGTAGCTAAATTAAAGAAATCCTCCATTCTTGCTGACTCGAAAGAAAGAGTCCAGAGAACGACATCACTGTACATGAAGGTCCACGGAGGCTGCAGCGGGCCTCGAGGCAGAGCTTCTCAATGAGCTTGCTTTGAGTTTCCTTCTAAGCAAGTCCCGCTCCACGCCAGGCCAGGCAGCTTGTTTATTGACACGACCAGCCTCCTTTCCTCGAGTACAGTCAACACAAGAACAGGAAGATACTGCAAAACCAAAAAACCAAGGTGCATTACTAATAATTCAGTGGCCAAATCGTGTAAACAGGACTAGCTTAGAAATAGATAGTAAGTCTCGATCCACTGCAATTGAAGCTGTAAAATAGGAATGGATATGGCAAAGTCATCTCTCAGAAGGCACCACAATGTAATTGAAGCTAAAACCTGACAGGGTGGAACGAGGAATTTTAAACTGGTAATAGCCACCAAAAAAAGTAAATAAAAACAAAAGCATTTGGCTGGTCCAAAATGTAATACCGATCCGTCAGCACCTGCAGTTCTTTTACATACATTCTCTGGTTTGGTTTGTGGTTTTAATGTGTTTTAGTCTGGTTTTCTTGAGTCATACTGTCTCTGCTGCAGCAGAGATGGGGCCTGTCCTTCCCCACCACTTAACCGTGGCCTTTCCTCTCCCCCAAGAGCAGGATATAAGCTGTGTCCAAATGGGTTCTGAATTCTCCAGACCCAGCAGGGTGAGACGATGAACCGTTGAAAACCACTCTGTCTCCTTTGGGAGGATGGCATGTCTTTAACATCTGCGTAGCGTGTTCTTCTATATACATACACATATGCAAAGCTTTCCTTCCAGCAAAGGTGCGTGTGCACGGGGGCAGGAGGCCGGACCTTTGCAGGCCAAGGAAAGCAACTTCAGAAATGAATTATTTTCTTTGCTTTATTATTTTTATCAAGACAGAGAAGTATTGTATGAAGAGATATCTATTTTCATAATCAGTATGTGCCTAAATTATATTTAAATCATTTCACTCTGTACTATATTTTCAGTAATTATAGAACATGTTGTTCATCCACTGAAGGGTACCTCTGTATACGTAACCTAAGATCTACACGCGGTTTTCTTAGAAACCGCAGGGTTCGGGTCGAATGTATGCTGCATTAATAAACAATGTGAAATGTCAGAGAGAGTCTCTTGTCTTACTTTTGAAAAGCGCAGCATTACACATACTGTGGATTAGTTCTTTGAAAGTGCCATTAAATTGATTTGTCGAAGCATTATTTAATGATCCCCTTAAAATCCACCATGCTCACAACATGAAGCAATTTCAAAAAAGAAAAGACTGCCTTCTAAACTTCCCTTAATTTGTGTCACTCGCCAGCTGATGAACATTACCAGTTAGCTTTACTAGGTTGTTCAAATACATTGCCCCTCGAAACATTTTGCTTGACAACTGGAGAGAAAATTTTAAGGAGGGAGGGAAGTTAGAAAACAGTAAAACTTCCATCAGCTTAGTGATGAAACATGGCTAATCAGAGAGGAAAAAATGCAGCTGTTGGGTGGCCGGGCTAGAAAAAGTTTTCAAACCTAAATCAGCTAGATTATCTACGTAGATGAAATTTAGAACCCTGCTATATAATTGTTTAGAGCAATATTTTATGTTATGCTGGGACATAGTCTAATACTTTCAACTACAGTTTCAAAGAAATTTTAGTAGGAATAAGATGAATAAAAATTCATTTTCTTATAAAGGTTATCATGATAAATCAAGACTTGAATATTTTCTCCAGTCCATTTTATGAAGTGGTTGTTTATACCGTAAATCTACCCCCAAGTCAACTTTCAATCATCTTTAATATATGAAAAGCCCTTAGAATGATATTAATCTCCAAAGCAATATTATTTTTAAAATTAAAGGCACAGCTCTACAAAGAAAAGCAGTTACTTTGTTTTCTGTGCCAAGCACCTTATTCTGGGTTAATTTCTGAGGCCTGGCCACACCCACAGGATGGTTCAGAAGAGCTTCCTGCAGAGGTTTCCGATTAGGGCAAAAAAAAAAGGTTTGCATCTGTCATTTGGCAAGATTACTAAATCATTGCATTGTAATAATTTCAGGGTATTTCTTTTAATGCAAAAGATGAAGCCATTTTCCCTCAAGTCGTAACTCTAACATTTAAGAAATTCCTAAATTTAGAAAAAGTTAGATAACTATAAAATCCCATTATTTAAACACAGTTGACGAAACGCAGCTCCTTGGCAAACTGGTCTGCCCTGGGAACCATGAGAAGTTTCGGAGTTTGTCACTAAACACCAAGACTCTGTTAACTGCATTATCGATACCCTGTTTGCTGCTGTAGAAAATTAAGTTTGGTCCTTGCCCTTCAAAGGTCTGTGACCTACAACAATATTAATACAGACTTCGAAGGCATAAAGCATTCCGAATGAATTCATGGATCACGTGGCTGTATTCATCTAAAAATTTCAAAGCATTATTCAAACATTGAATACTAACAGATAGGAACATGTGTGAAATCCAGAGAGAAGTGATTAACCTGGTAATAAGGGTCAGAAGTCCAAAGCCAAGACCACGCCTGCTTATGTGACACTGTTATACGCACGTCTCAGCAAACGCAATCAGTTGGACAAGATGAACGAAGTGTTCAAACATGATGAACTTCTGTTGACGAACAGCCTCGCATTTCCTTTCTATTGTAGTGAGATGAGATTGCACTCCTTCCTATCAAAATGGCCCTTAAAAATTATTCAAGGTGTATAAATGAAATCATTAAAATAACTTAGTCAATCACTCATGTCTTATTTTTTAAAATGCCCTCCTATTTGCAATTATACTTTAAAGCACACCCCCTTCCCTACCTTGTCCTGACAGCCCACGGAGGGAAGGACGAGCAAAGCAGGACGTGTGTCTGGCCAGGGCAGCTCTGGCGAATGCAGTTGTTCCAGAGAACGCAGTGCAGTGACTGACCAGCTTAGCGACCTACCCAAGGAGGAACTGCCAGTCCTGGCTCTCAAATGACCGAATATCCAGTTATTTTTAACCATTTTACTATTTATCTAATATATCAGTCCTTATAGCCAACTCTACATGAAATTTTAATTCTATGTCAGATTAAGCAGACATACTACTGCAGAAATACAGGAAGCTTTAGACTTAATCCGGTTAAAAGACCCTTACTTTCACTTATTCATAGCTATACTTATTGAACACCAACTAAATGCTATGAATTTATTAACAGATGTTCTACTCACCAGGAGTTACAGCCCAGTGGTAAGTTCGGGAAAGACAATTACGTATTCAAATAAATGTCATAGAGATGAATGGTTCTCTTTTAAGTAATTGTACCGTGGCCCTAACTGGTGTGGCTCAGTGGGTTGGGCATCGCCCTGAAAAGTGAAGGGTCACCCATTGGCTTCCGAGCCAGGGCACATGCCTGGGTGGTGGGTTTGGTCCCCGGTCAGGAGCATGTAAGAGGCAGCTGACCAACGTTTCTCTCGTACATTTTTCCCTCTTTTTCTCCCTCCCTTCCCCTCTCTCTAAAAACATTTCCTTCAATAATAATTCTATAGTGTAAGTGACATGTCAAGGGGCTCACGGCTGGGTTGAAACATTTACCTATAAAATTTGGACAAGGACATCCACCTTGCAAGAGTGGCAATGGTGAGTGAGGTCAGTCTTGCTGGCATATCAGGAAACTTTCTCATCTTCGTGTCCCCACTGCATTCGGCACAGTGGAGTGCACTGGATAAGTAAGCATTCACTGAAGTGACTTGGACTGTGGACCTAAGTGTGTCTGTCCCGGGAGGTCTTGTGCTTAGTGTATTCTAACTACAATGTTTCTGCTTACCTTTTCGATGCTACAGAAGGCTTTGGAGATAAGTCAAGGGGGACTCTGGTGACTAGGAGACTGGGGGATTTTCAAAGTCATGCAATATACTTTAGGGTTCTATATGGGCTTGGTGTAGTGCCAAAAATCACTTATTATTTATAAACCAGTTCCTTTTACAAGCGAGGAATCTAAGAGCTGAGACCAGCTCCCGGCATCTTCACATCTTTCTGTAATTGCTACATGGCCTCCTTTATGAAAGTTTTTATGGGTGCAGTTAACATCACTTAATGTAAGACAGCTACTCTCCTTGAACTCTTGGAAGACCTGTCAATTTCTTCAAGGGAGGCCAACCTTGTTTGGTTTTAATCTCTTTGAATTGTGGCCTCAGCTATAAAAGTCTTAGCTGAGGTTTTAATGGCCGATTTAAGTAAATGTAACAGCTATAACAGCGGGTGTTCCAATTACAAACACCATTAAAGGGCTTTATGTGAGGATTAAAAAAAATACTATTAAAAAAAATGGTCCATGTGTAGTACAATTTACCAGCAGGAAAGATTTCAGTGTCCTGGGAAAATTTCATATAAAAAGGGAGCTAGGAAGACAAAAAGGTACAATATTCAACGCACTGCAAGGGAAGCGTGTGGCATTCTCTGGGCACTTTGCTCTCAAACAGGTAAAATGCTTTGTATTTCTAGGGTGGTTGTTTTTTTAGACTGCATGCTGCTGTCTGTCTATAAGGGCTTTTACATCGTCTAGACTAACACCAGGTGTGGTGGTGCCTATAGAAACATTGACCTTCATGGTCATTGTCAGCCCTGGCCACAGAGAGCTAGCCTTCGGGGAATGGTGACAGCTCATGGACCAATATTTGATTTTGTCTTTAGCTTCTTCCCATCAAAGGAAAATTAATCTGGAGACTCCTTGTGAAAGCTCCGCATGTCATCAGGTAATCTGAGGCTGCCCTGGCCAGGGAGGCATCTGGCCTGGGACTCAGTGCCTTGAAAAGTGTTGAGTCCTCTCTCACTGTCCCAGATGGTACAGACCACACGAATGCATGGAAGACCAGAGGGCAGACACTCAGCAAAATGCCATCAGTACCCCCTGTAGCTATATAATGTCCAAAACCCCCCTCTTTTTCTGCCACAAATTTTTGCTAGCAGCTACTTGTCAGAGCAGATAGCACAATTCCCTTCATCTCAGGACGATACAGTTGACAACCAAGGACAGAGGAGAAAAGACAAAAAGATGAACTTCATAAAGGAGGAATCACAGGGTCTAGGTAACAAAATAAATAATGAAAATAGAAATAGACTAGTTTAGTTTAAAAAAATGATTTTGTCCCCATTGGCTAGCAACTCAAGGCAAGCAAGTGGGCACGTGTATTTTCGCGTCCATTTGGAACCTGTAGATGACTCCTACCTCCATCTTCCGTCAAGTTTATGACACAGTTGTTAGGCTTTTCACCAAAGAGGGTCTCTACCTTTTGCTCAACCCCGTCTGTGCCTGTTTCGATTGTTGTAATGATGTTCTTTAGAATGGAGCCGAGTCCCAAACTCTTGGCCGGACTTATCCTGTTGACACTGTGTGTGGTGGGCAGCTCCAGCCAGCACTGGTCCTACGGGTTGCGCCCTGGAGGAAAAAGAAATGCAGAAAATCTGATGGACTCTTTCCGAGAGGTAAGTCTCTCTCCCTTTCACCACACCTTCAGGAAGGTGTGGCTTATTTGGTTCAATGACAAACATAGTTAGTAACGATGCTAACCTTCTCTGTGCTCCCTGAGATTGCCACTCGAAACTCCATCCTAGGTATCCGAGGGGAGGTCAGACACTCACACGGTCAAGTCCCACGCCTGCTTTCCACTCAGATGAGGACTAGTGGGGCAAAGCAAAGGAGCAGTCCCCAGAGGACACAGCCACAGTGGGTAGTGTGTCACCCTCGGAGCTCACGGAACTGCCAAAGGAATGACAACCCGCAAAAGGAGCAAGGCCTCCAGGGCGGGATGACTGAGATTTGGAAGGAAGATCTTAGGCCTTCTGACCATGTTTTTTCTTTCTTATTTCATCTTTTAAAACTACCTACAATTTAGGTCAGCAGCACATTTTTATAACATATAAATATGTTATCAAGGATGTATGCTCTGTAATTGCCTTTTAACTAATATGGGTATTTAAGCAAAGAAGCCACAGGTCGCTAGAGCAGAGGAGTTAGCAAGCTCAGGGAGACAAAATGTACACTGGACAACAGGCTGGATTCAGTTCCATGTACGTTAGATCAGCACCAGTGCCAGCACTAGCGTAGGCTGCGTGGGTTTTGTTTGTTTTAGTTTTTAATCCATAAAATGTGACTTCTTGGAGTCATATCAGGATTCTATGAGAGAGACCATATATGTCAGCAGGTTAATCCAAAAAATGCCAGTGTATTAATAAAAAACAGTTCTTGTTACTGTTTTTTTAAATTAATGGGACACAAATTAGTCCCTAAACAATTAGTGATTTGGGACTGGGACACTTAATATTGGCCTAGAAATATTAAACTTAGGGTAGGAAGCTTAAAACCATTTAGTTTTCATTGGGAAAAAATCTTTTTGTGGGAAAAATAATAAAAGTAATTTAGTGGGAAATAAGCCTCAGAATTTAATGTCTCCTTTACACAGATTGTATGGGAAGATCTCTGTCTCTCTCCTTTAAAAAGAAGTATTTATTGACTTTTTGTTTTGAGAGACAGCGATTTGCTGCTCCACTTATTTACGCATTCATTGGTTGATTCTTGTCTGCGCCCCGACTGGGGATGGAACCCACAGTCTTGTCATATGGGCGGCTTCCAACCAACTGAGCTCCTTCTGGCCAGGGCTGGGAAGCAGCTCTCATTTAACTATGAAACACTTAGTAAACACTAGAAAATGAAAATCAGCCCTATTCACAACTATAAGCTATTGTAGTTTTTGTATACAGTCTACTCATGGAGTTTGAACTTCATCCTCATCCTCTTCACAGAGAAAATGCTCTCTGCCTCAGCACAGCCACCACCCCCAGGACTCGACCACAGCCAGTGACAATGGCCCCTGGGGCTGGGTCATTCTTAAAGGCCCCACCCCGATCCCGCAACAGTCTCAGTCCTCAACCACCTTGACCACATTCTCCACAGACAATTTTTAGTGGAAGTGGAAAACAATTTCATTTACCTCCATCTCCGAGAATAACACCTTTTTCCTTCAGATAGCCAAAGAGGTCGATCAGCAAGCAGAACCTCAGCGGTTGGCGTGCACCGTCCACCAGCCCCGCTCTGCCCTCCGGGAGCTGAAAGGGGCGCTGGTGAGTCACAGTGGTAACGGGAGCGTGGCGCTTAGGACCGGGGCCCTCGGGCACCACCTTGGCCTGTGAGGGCAGCCACCTTTCCTGATCGCCCGCCCGAGATGCTCCTGGGTCGGGCCCTCATTGTCTCATAGCGCCCCCCCTTTGAGTGGTTGTACAGCACAGAACAATGGCCGGAACCTCTTTTCTTCCTTTCATAAATGGAATTGAAATCACCCAGTGACCTTTATCTGCTGATGTTGGCCCTAGCTTTGGGGATGATGGGCAACATGGGTTTCTCCTCCCCTCCACGTCAGTTCTTCAAGTATGGCATACATTCTTCACATTTACACCCAGCCTGCGCGCCTCTAGGGAACCATCCGTGCCTGGCCAGTGGGTCTCCCCTTGTTCTTGGTATGACTGTTTTCCCCAACAAATGCAGGAATCAAAAATGGCGCTCTAGTGCCCTTGGAATAAAAAGTTCCAAACTAGGGATTTAGCATTCCGAGCCACATATGTGATTTCCAGTTTTCTAACTGGACTATCTCGATCTCCAAATTCTCACCAAGAATAGACACAGAGTAACTCGCTGTAGGCTTTCGATTTTCAAATGAATATAAAGAGAACTGAATATAGAAAGTGAGTCTTGAAGTCAGCGCTGGTGTTCTCTGAGCACCCTGGTCCACGCACTGGTGGCAGTCAGAAGGCATGACAGTTAGTTATGTAATGCCCAGGGGACACCTGACTGCACTCCAGGTGAAGCTGAGCTGCAGTCTCCATTCACTCCGTTGACTGGGACTTCCACACCCACGGGAAAGAGAGACAAGCAGATGGCCATCTTCAGTTGCTTTCTTCTCATCCTGCTCACCGCATGATAAAAGAGAGCAAGCGCTGAAGTTTCCCAAACATGACGTTAGACAGAAGGAACTGAAGCAAAGCCCAGGTTAACGGCACACTGATAGATCGGACCTCTCTTTCGCCGTTTTTCCACATCTGCCCTTAAACTACTGATGCAGATTTTATTATAAGCAACTTTAAAAGACATAATTGTGTATCTTTTTAGCACTTTCTAGAACACAAATGAATCTTTTCTTTCTATATGGATATTTTAGAAGTGATGTATTACAAACATAATGAAATTCAGCCAGTAAAATCGACCTTGATATATTTGTTACTCACATATTTTTCAGGAAAGTCTGATTGAAGAGGAAACCGAGCCAAAGAAGATTTAAATTCATGGGTCCAGAAGAATCAACAGTGCTGAAGTATAATTCTGACTTTGAAATTTGTGACCTATGAATTGTGTGCATTTCAGACATTCTTATGCCAAGCTGCACATATCTCATAATAAAGTAGTGTGAACAGAGTGGCCTCAGTGTTAGCTAAGTCTCTACCTCAGACCTCTCTGGTCGGGGAGGGACACTCCCAGCCCCCAGGGGGCATCCTTTCACTGTGTCTACAGGGGCAGCTGTGTGGGGAGAGAACAGAGTCAACACAGCTGTGGACCGAGAATGCCACGGCTCCCCTCCACCACCCCTCTCCCCCACCCCCGCACCACAAGGACAACTGTCCCATATTGATCAGTCTGGGCCAAAAAAAGCTGGTTCTGCTACAGGGAGCTATGGGATTGTGGCTTCATTTTTTAGTGTACCCTACAAGAAGGTAGGTGGGGCCATGGCCAAGGCTTCCTCCCCAGACTGCCTCTAATCCCTTTGAAAGTCAACTGGAACCTGAGAGAAGCCCAGGCGAAAGGCTTCCTGGGGCTCCTAGTCCATTGCTTCTGGCTCACATGGTCTCTCCAAGTTCACCAGAGCAAGTGGTGCACTCTGAGTTGGGGGACCGAGACCTAAAACTAATGGTATTCACCTGCCCAATCTGCTATTTCTCTTGACAACACAATGGAGTATAGAGTCAGTTGAAGATGGACGTTCCCATGTCCCTTGGTCAAATAGCATTGCCACTGTTCACTCTCCACAAAGAAGGGTGACAGACTTGGTGCTAGATACACACCCATTTCCATTACCCCTCATAATGACTGAGGAAGTCGGTGCCAGTGTCTTCCCTTTGCATTGCAGAACCCGGGGCTCTGACCGCTCCTTTCCAAGACCCACGGAACCGCGTCAGGTTCCGTGGTCAGGGACTCTGCATTGCAGCTTGGTGAGCAGACAGTGCGCTGGCCCTGGAAGCTGTTAGCTTGCTAACTGGTGCTGAGACAGGACACTGAGGCTCCTGTGTCCACCTAGGGCCACTGGTGACTGTTTCTCTCAGTGGTCCCAGACACTGTAACATTAACGTTTTTGTGTACCCCTTTAACTTCCAAGTGACTCTGGGACCATTGGAACAACTCAAATTTCGGATAACTTGCTTGGTGTCCCGGCCGCAAACTGTGCCTGTATTCACGTGAAAAAGACCTAGGCCCCTTTCTGCCTTTCAGTCAAAGAGATGAAACCTTCCTCCTCCCCTCCGTGGCCCTATAACTCTAGAAGGGCAAGACAGGTACATTCTGTGTACGTGTGTGGGGGAGGACCCTCCTTTTTTAATACAAATGTTTATTACTGTTCGATGCTAGGTTTCCCAAATATCACCATTTGTGGAATGTCAAACTCAATCACAGAACATCACTCACACTTTAGTAAAATTCAGCAGTTGTGAGGTCTACCATCTATGGAACAAAAGGCAAAACTGCATCATTGTATTAATCAATACATATCAGGCAGGATGGGAGGCTCCTTGCTGTTAATCAGTCAGTAACTTTTTTTTTACACAATGATGTCATTTATAACCTTTTTATTAGTTTACATATTGTAAAGAGAAGGAAACCACTTATTTCGTACACTGTTTGGGGTCTCAGGTTTCCTTTGCCAAAGCTTGTCTTTGGGGCGTTTTCTTTGCAGCCAGAGGTAGGCCTCCCTGAAGGGGCCACAAAGATGCTCTTTGGGGAGGTCCCATGCTGACGTCAGAGGCCTGGGGTGGCGCCCGTGGGTTTGCAGCTGACAAGCACATATGGGATCCTTGATCTCCAGTGCCCAAGTGACTTAAAGGTAAGGACAGGAAACACGACTTCTTTATTAAAGCTGGAAGCATTTTCCTGAATGTGAACTCTAACTCATCACTGTATCTTTAGAAAAAGGCTGTACCCTTTCAAAAATAAAAGGAATGGAAACGTAAAAATGGTAGATTTAATTAGATGAGTTCTCAAGTATATATGGCTTTAAATGATAAAGAAATGAAAAGGGATTAAACATAGATTATTTTAACCGAAGTTTCAGAAGTCGCAGTATTCCAGGGATAACTGGGAAGAAGCCAAGGACCACGGCACGGTGGGAGCGCTTACAGATCCTGAGGGCCAAGGCGCTCTGATGGGGGCGCTCCTCGGTGCAGACCCAGATCCCAAGCCATTCCCCACGCTTACTGATGCAAAACCTGCATTTTTAACAGGTGTCTGGTGAATCGTATGCACATACAGGGCAGCACTGTTTGCTCTAAGAAACAACAGACTGCAATGTTTGGAAGCTGAACACTTATAAACCTCTGATGCGTGAGGCGAGCGAGCACTGCCGGCAGGGGAGTTTTCCCAAAGGAAGCTGGCTGTGCGCCCTCTCCCGCCGGACCGCCACCAGCGGGGAGCCTAAGAAACAGGCCTTGAACGCCAATTTTCTAAAGCTGTTATTTCCTTCCAGGCAGTGGTTCTTAACCTTTCCTAACATTGGGCTAACACGGGGAGATGCTCGGGTCCCACCCCTGCCCTCAGAAATTCGGACGTCACTGGTCTGGGGTGTGGCACCTTTTCCCAGGGGACACTGCTGCTCACCCGAGTGGGAGATTGGTTCCCATCCTTTCTATGTAAGTTACTAGATATTCCCTTTAACCTCTTTATTTCCTTTCACCTCTGCTCAGTTATCTGTGGTGAATGAGTAAAGAAATAGAACCTATTGCATTAAATGAACGGTTATCAAAAAACTGCACAGCTTGGATGCCAAATGAACAGACGGGGAGGTAGGAGCCAAGAAAGAACCAGATAATTTGAAGTTTTTACTGCTTCTAGGTAAAGACGACTGTCTGACCCCACGGTATGAGTTTAAATTCACAGGACCCATAATGAAAGAAGGCTAGAAGGGACTCTGCCCTGGGTGTGGCGTGTCAAAAGGAGGCGTTGATTAAAAAGAAAAAGTTCAGGGATGATTTCATTTCACTAATATATGGATAATAATAAATTAAACACACAATGAACTGTAAAATACATTTCCACTTTTAATTTAAAAAATAAATAATAGCAAATCGGAACAAAACGTTTCTACTTCAATGCTCATCTTCCTCACTGTCCACGTTTGAAACCCAAGTAGTTTACAAAACCACGGCAAGAGAGCTTTGGACAAAGTATGAATGGACAACTCCAAACAGGACTGATAGATGAGTTTGGACAGATATAGGGGAGGGCAGCTCTGGCTGGGTTACTAAGAATCAGCCTGAAATGAAAGAATTTTCCTTCTGGAGATAACTGATGGTTCCACTCGGAACCGACCCGAAGAGCAACTTACCCCCCCCAACCCAATCCTGAAGTCCCCTCTTTGCTGGCGCACAGACAGGAAAAGCCACAGAAACTTCATTTCCTCCTGGCTTCTCTTTCACTCATTGAGAAGAAAGCTGGGGCTGCAAGGGTTCTATAAAAATCATGTAACATACATAGATATGTACTTTTTTACATGAGGAAACTGAGCCCCAAGGACTAATACATGGTGACTCACCAGAAAGTACACTATTGTTTTCTGTAAATGGCGGGGTTTTCTCCCGTTCATTGCACCCGCAGAGTGACAAGGAAAGAAGGGACACATATGAGGTCGATTGTGTCTGGATCTGAGAGGCGGTGGCAGGGGCGCGTGCTGCTGTGATATTTCACCCATCCTTGTGCTACGATGTGTCTGAGAGATAGGTCTCGATTTTAAAATAAGACCCTGTGACCTGGGGTAGCTGCAAGGGAAGCGCTCTGGCAGCTTGGAAAGAGTTAACGGAGGTGAACTGTGGTCTGAAATCCTGCTTTAGCTCGTTTTGTCCCAGGGGTTTACAGTGTGACGGCAGCAGTTCTTAAGGGTCTCCCTGATGGGAGAAAATGACAATTCGGGAGTCGAGGGTGGAGGGGAGGCCACCCGTGGCCCAGTAGCCTGTTTAGCACTTCGCTTTGCTTCAACACCACGCACTTCCCATCCACGACACACCGCAGGCTTTGTATACGGGCCCCGAAGACATTGAACCGCCACAACCTCAGGGTCTAGTACAGTGTCCGGCACCTACTAAGCCTAATTGTATGTTGAATGAAATAATTCTTGGGAAAAAAATCTCAAAGCAAGAAAGTCACCAGGACAGAGAAAGATGAGATTACAAAGATATCCCATACATAAACCAGCATTCACAAAGGCTGACGATCGGGGCTAATTTCGATGTCTTTCAATACTCCAGAGTTCTTCCCAGAGAACAGAAATTTCATATTTCTCTTTTTATCCCTGCTCATTTCTCCTAATTTAATAGAATCGAGGCATTTCTTTGCTGTCTTCCTCTGTGACTTCAGGACACACATTATTCATGACCTTTGTCAACTATGACTCTTTTCTACCCTATGTCTTCCCGAGGAGACGAGCCTTCCAATGTCCCGTCATCTGTTGTTCACAAAACCACCTGGAACCCTTTCCGTTCAGGCAGCAGAGACTTCGTATTTCCAGAAACATGGAGAGGGAGTCTTATGGAGAATTGTTACGTTTAAAAAAGAGCCCTGGCCGATGTGGCTCAGTTGGTTGGAATGTTGTCCCATACACTGAAAGGTTGAGGGTTCAATTCCTGGTCAGGCACGTACCTAGGTTGCAGGTTCAATCCCTGGCTGGGGTGTCTACAGGAGGCAACCAATCAATGTTGCCTCCCCCCCCCACATCCTCTGTCTCTAAAAACAACAAAAACATCCTCAGGCAATGATTTAAAAAAAGTGGGGGTGGGAAGGCATCTGGCGTGTTTATCGGGTTCCCAAGCCCCTAATCAAGGACCAGACTGCAGGACTTGCACCCACCACCCCGAGGGACCATGCTCAGGGCTTCTGGTGACCCGGTTCACATCTGTTTAATGGCAGCCTGGAGAGGGGGTGACACATACGGACCCCCTCCAGCCAGTCTGCAGGGCAATTTCTCACAAGTGGCTCTGGCTCTGCTAGAGCCCAACCTGGCCTTTCTGGTCCTTCTCTTCACTGTCT